AATTTCCTCTGAGAGACTTCCACAAATTGATCCCAAAACAAATTGATCCCAAAGCCTCTTCACAAATTGATCCCAAAGCCTCTTTGAGACCTCCTTATTGCAATCCAACCACCACATTGCTCTGAATCCACTTGTCAGAGCCCAATTTTGAGCTCGAATCTCTGCCTAAAACTAGGATAGAGCTCATTACACTTCTAAACTCCACAAAAATCAAATAACTTCTAAACTCCCCAAAAATCAAATTAAACTCACCCACACCTTCACCACAGTGAGAGAAGGAAAAGCCCCATCAAATCCCCCTTCCACACTGACTCTAGCATAGCTCTAGACCAACAACTGAAATTGGCTTTGGTCGAATTCTTACCTAGGCTTTGCACCACAGTCAGAGACTTAATCCGTAGCCTCCTTAGACCCCAACAAACCTGTCGAGCACCTCTAATCGAAGCTTCACTTCTCAGAGCCAAGGTATTGATCTCCTCTTCCTCCCGAGCCTATTTTCATTCTCCATTTGATTAGGCTTCATTTAATTGTATGATTACCAAAATGGATATGTTTGTCTCATGTAGACGAGTCCATAAGATCAAACCCTAAGTGATTTGGTTGAGTCTAAGTTGAGATCTTAGGGTTTTAGTGTGGACGGTCAAGAGATCACTCTATCGAGGACGATGAAGGGGATCCATCTGATCGCTCGTGTATTAGATGGACGGAGGATCGGATGGACAGAGGAGATCGAGCCGGACAGCGCTTCCTCACATGAACCGAGAACCAAGCAGTGGCGTTACATGAACCGTGGGCTGAGTCAGCGGCTAAGTGGATGGCGATGTCCAACCAGAGCACGTCACGCGTGCCTTCGGAGCTGCCTAGGATATAGTCAGCGCCGCACGTTTAAATAGAAAAATAGGGATTTTCTTATTTTAATAAATAGCCTTTAAAAATTCATATCTTGGTGTAAAAAAATTATAAAATAAAATAAAAATATACCTCTTGCTCAATGAATAGAGGAGAACAATGTGGAAATGATTTGGAGTCCATTTGATGCATATTTTATTTTTAATTAATTAGACACTGATTTGAATGTTTTGATTCTCCATGCATATAGACATATCACCATGGATTGAAATTTTAGCATGTTGTTGCCTCTGTCTTACGGAACATCCTCTGATTTTTCTAAAGTTAGAGGAGGCCCCTAGACAGAGGTCCATATTTTTAAAGTTTATGTCTATTATTTGCGTAAATTAATCATGATAATTATCTCGTTGCTTAGAAAATTCTAAGAAAATCTTGGAAGGTTCACTATGACTAGAGGACCTCTTGGAAATAATTTCATGAGTTAGGTCATTAAGAATGTAGTTAATCTTCACCAACCCTAAAACACAAAAAAAATTAATTTTGGGTAACATAAACATCTAAATGATTTGAATTTTAATCTCCACTGTTATTTAGGATCTAAGGAACTCACCATAAAAATTTCAAAGCATTTTGAGTTCATTTGATGGCCTAAATTGATTTTTTAAGATAAATATCATTTTGGCACTTAAATGATTTTTAAAAATCAAAATAAAACTAAAAAAATTTTAAAACTTATTTTTTGAGTTCTCTGTGATCAGGGGTATTTTCTATAAATAAAATGGTATTTAAATCAAAAACTTGATTTTTAGCCTATTTTTAAATATTTAAATAATTAAAAATCCATAAAAATCACAAAAATAATAAAATTCATGAAAATGTTTTAAATTACTTCTTAACCACTTAAGAATAATTGGGATATTTTTCCTGATTTTCTAAATAAAAATATTAAATTTTGAAGCTTAAAATAATTTTTAAAGGCTAAAAATGGATTTTTACAAAAAAAAATTCATTAATTCAAAGAAAAATCAGAATAATGTAAAATTTATTTCTCTCTGTCCCTTGACATCAGAAGATCTAATAAAAATATAAAACTTAATTTTTCACATTTAAAATATTTTATAATTAATAAACACTACATAACTTAAAATAACACTTAAAAATTCAAATAAAATTCTCAAAACCATGAACTTTGGTCCACAGGCTTCTCTAGTCTAAGCCTACATCCAGTAAAAATTTTAAGAGATTAGGATTTTTCTTGGTCAAGTTAGAAATTTTCTTTAAAAAATCTTACTTCTGCATTAAAAATAATTATATAGATAAATTAAATTTTGAAAAATCATACTTTGTCCTCTGATGTCTCAATTAACCCATGAGTGAGGTAGGATAAAAATTTCAAAGTCATTTGGATTAAATTTGATGAATTATGAAGTGATAGAGCCTTAGAGGCAAATGTGTAATTTTGGAAATTTAGCCTTAATTAACATTTGGACCTAATTTCAGAAAGGGAAATGGGAAATCTTTGATTCTAATTAACATATTTGGGTGATTGAATTACAAGGGGTTAACTGGAAGAAACCAACCTCACTTGTCCTAATTAAAATCGATAAATTTGAAATTTCCTTAAATTACATAAATTTGAGAGTCTAGCCGATCAAATGATTCTAGATTTGGGGGTATGATTTTAGGTGTTAATAACTCATAAATTTGATACCACTATTTGATGAACAAAAAAAAACATGAATCATCACCAACACTTATAAGTCAATTTCATTTGCAATGTCTAAGACGCTCACCAAAATCTTAAGGGCTTAGTAGTGACTTAGGCTAAATCAAGTTTCATTTAAATAAGGATTAGAAAAGTAAACATCATTGAAAATTAAAATAATAAGAAAAATAATAAAAAGGAAATGATATGAAAGGAAAGATATATCATATAATATCTCCACTAATTAATTCATATTAATTATTAAGAGATATACGAAATAACATAAAATAGGAAACCAAATAATTCTTAATTTAAGGAAGTAAATATAAAATAGGAAAGGAAATATCTCCTTATATTAAGGAAATAATTTATTCCTCATAACTTCTTATAGGAATAAATTATTTCTTATTATAATTCTTAACACTCCCCCTCAAGTTTGGAATGTATGTTAATAATTCCTAACTTGCTGAGTAGTGAAGAAAAATTAATCGTTTGGATTATTGAATTTGCTAGATTCAGGCATGGCTGAATTTTTCAGTTTGTCTGTCATATGTTTTGACGTCAAAGAGATTCAGGCTTGGCTGAATTTGTTGGATTCAGGCTTCGCTGAATTTTAAGTTTTGCAGGGAAAGACAACCACAGGAGAAATGGTTGGCTGGAAACGCAGCTC